ATGGGGCAACAACCTGACGTTCCTGTAACCGAAGCATATAGAACTCCAAATAACATCAACACAATTAAAAACACACCCAGACACATAATAATCAAGGTCCCAGAAATTCAGCATAGGAACAGTATACTAAAAGCCACTAGAGAAAAGAAACAAATCACTTTTAAAGGAAAACCCATCAGAATAACGGCAGATTTTTCTTCACAAACCATCAAGTCAAGAAGAGCATGGAGCAAAGTACTTCAAGTCTTACAAGAAAACAAATTCCAACCCAGACTGATCTACCCTGCAAAACTCTCTTCCAAGTACAATGGAGAAGTGAAATATTTCCACGACAAAGAACAACTAAAGAATTTCATGATGACAAAGCCAAGCCTACACGGACTACTAAATGATGTTCTAGAGAGGGAGCAAATTGATCACAGCCCCATGAATGAGAATGGAAAGAACTCAACAAATAGGGCAAACAATTAAATACAGGAGAATAAGAGTAGTGGAGATCAAACTCAGGGCCATGCATTTGCCAGGGAGACGCTTATGCCGCTGAACGATATCCCCAGCCCCAGATAATGCAGTGTCTCAGTGAAACTTTAAAACTGGATTTGACTAAGTTTACTTGTTTTCTGTGTGTTATATTTCTAAAAAAATCTAGTAAGAATTATATGGAGTTGGGAGAAGCAGTGAGGGGTGACAATCACTGTAATGATTCTGCCACAACTGCTTTAACTTTTTCCCTTTTTCAAACCTTAACAATTGAACAGTTATATTTGATGGGAAGGTGAGTGTTTTAATGTAAACATTTCCATAATTTGAACATAATAAATTTCCTTTAAGATAATAAATAAATAAATAAATAAATAAATGTCTCAGTGCTTGATACCGTTTTACCACTCAAGACATTTGTTTTCACTCATCAACATCATTTAACTAAATGAGGGAGAAAAAGTATAATGAACATTTTTTTGGTGAAAAATCATGACATGTTACATTAAAAATTCCTTTTAATGGGAAAATTAGTATGTTCAAGTATATAAATTAATAGTCAATTATCTATTTTACCCAAGACATTCACTACTTTTATGACATCAGTTTATATCAAAATTAGCTAATACTACGTATTAAAATGAATAGAGGTATGGAGTCCTATAACACAATAAAGTGTAAAATATAGGTTTTTAGGTATAATATGGGATATTGTATATTTCTTTCATGGAGAAGCTAAGTGAGGAAGGATAATCTGATCTAAGATACTAAAGGCTAAAAACACTTCTTTTTTTATATGGGTCACAATATTCAATAGTGAATTTCTTTTTAATCTCGGAGATCTCATTCAATAGGACATTACTATTCTTAAAACTGTAACATGAGTCTTTTGGGAGCATGGTTATATAACAAACCACAGTAAACCTCATGAAATAAATTGAAGGCTTTCAACTTGTGAAATAATAGTTTACCTCATTCTCTTCTGGGAACGTAGCTCACTAATTAATGGAAAGTTTGCAAAAAATAATAATTTGATACAGTATTTCCTCAGTGAGCTTATTTGACTACAGGCATCTCACACAAAATGAAGAACTGTTTAACAAAACACACTATAGAAAACATACTTAACATACTTGTCTTTAAAATTTTGAAATTTTAAAATGTGAAAATAATATACAAAAGCCACTAGCAAATAATTTGTGTTTTACAGGTTTTTGAAGTTGTTCATTATTCTAAATCATTTCCACCTAAAGAAGATCTATATTTGATCATTTTCCAAGAATTCATACCTGATGGCTACCTACACTTTATTTACTGAATTGTCAAGTAAGTGGTTTTTGCCTATTATTCTGGTTAATCTGTGAGGCAACAGTGCTGACCAATTACCAGCAACAAACTAATTATACTGTAGAGGCTATGGTCCATGAACCTAGGTTTCTTCCACGAGTCCTGTAAAGACAGCATGCTTGTATTTGCAGTGGTGTCTGTCACCCGATGAACAGTGTGCAAGCAAAAAGAACAATTTGCCACTTTTGTTTGTGACCCAAACTTTTTGCAAATGAAAGTTTTGGCAAATCATGGTACCACTGTACATAATGCTATGTTTATTTTAATAAATTAAAATTTGAGAA